CCTCTGATGAGCCTTCCTGTTCCCCTCTCAAGAGGCAACAACATGCGGACTCTGGGCCTTGACCAATTTTTGTGTTCCAGGTGCGGTTCCTGGAGCAGCAGAACCAGGTGCTGGAGACCAAGTGGAACCTGCTGCAGCAGCTGGACCTGAACAACAGCAGGAAGAGCCTGGAGTCCATTTATGAAGCCCGCATCAGCACCCTGCGGAAGCAGCTGGAGACACTTTCTGGAGACAGGGTGAGGCTGGACTCGGAGCTGAGGAGCATGCGTGATGTGGTGGAGGACTACAAGAAGAGGTGAGTGGGAGGCAGAGCAGAGCCCACTGCAGAGTCTGACTACAGATGAGGTTTCCATCTCAAGCCAATCTCTTTTTGCCTTCTTAGTTCCTTTGGTGAGAGCATTGCTGTTTTCTTTCCCACAGAGGAGGGGAAGTCATTTAAACAGAATGAGACTTAGGAAAACAATGGATCTATCCAGAAAGGTGCTCTGAATTGCAGGAAATGTGTGTTCAGTTTCTAGCACTGGAAATGGAGGAATGGGGAAAGAGAATGCGTTCAATCAGATGGACAACTCAAGGGGCTTTGAAGTTTCTCCTGACTAACACTTTCCACGGCAGTTCCCAGAAAGTGAGATGCTCTGCCAATCCCAGAACAAATTTCAAAACTAAGCAAAAATGAAGACTTACTTCTTGTTGAAGCATGTGTGTGCCTTTGAACCTCAACTTTCAGGAGAATAAGTGAAAATGTGTTTGGAATCCCATATTGTGTCTCCCTCTGAGTTGAGCCAATAATGAGAGGTTCACTGTGACCTGACAGTTTGGAAGTTTGCTTCCAGTTGTCAGCATTTCTAGGCACAGGTGACCTCGTCTGCACTTCCAGGGAGTGGAGATGATCAGAACTGAATTCATTCTCTTGCTCCCCATTCAATGCCTGTCCAACTGTATTCTGAAAAGGAACCCTGGCCCGAGCCTGCATAGAGACCCCAAGGGAGGTGACATAGTCCCTGACCACAGAGAGCACATAGATTGTAGGGGCAAACTTGCAGAATACTTTCAGATAACAGAAATGAATACAGTGTGGACTGAGTTCAAGTGGAATTAAGATGAAAATTGGACCCTAAGAGGTGTTTAAGCAGGGTATGGAAGAAAGAGGAGGCTGCAGGCTGGCAGTCCCTGGCAGAGGCCTCCAGGGACTATACCTTTTAGAGGTTAAAGGTCTGGAGTTGCAGAATTGCCATTAACTCATTGAGCAGCATAGGTGAGCCTCCTGATGCACTGTGAGTTTAGCTACTAAAATTTATAAAAATCAAACATGAGCCTGGTGGGGTGGTGTGCAAATGTAATCCCAGACATTTACCTAGGAGGGTCCCAAGTTCTGGGTAAGTTAGTGGTACTCTCTCTCTGCATCTCCACCCAAAAAAGGGGGGCTTGGACTTGGGGTGTAGTTCAGTGGCAGAGTAACCCTGGGTTTAATCCCTAGCACCCCCAACCCCAAATCAAGTGCTGATACCTGCCTTAATACCTAAAAAATCTGTTGAGAAGATAATGCCTGGTAGTTATGTCTTCACAGCTCTTAAAAGAATTAATGTACAATACATTTGTAAGACATTGTTTCCCTGATGTTAAAGTCCTAGATTTGAGTCCTAACTTCACTATAAACTACCAGTATAACCTTGGCCAAGTCTGTTAATGTCTTTAGCATCATTTGTAAACTTGGGATAGAACTGACCTCATAGGACTGTTGTGGGAATTAAAAGAAATACTGAAAAGCTTAGCATGATGTTTAGCATGAAGAAAGGTAGTTAAATAAGTATTACTTGCATTTATTATGATTATTTTAAATTTAATTTTATCACTAATCTCTTCCATCTATGGGTCTTTTTTTATGTGTGTACCTGTTATGACATTGCATAGAAGCTCCTAATCATAAACCATCCTTGAATTAACAGCTTTAGTGCATTTACCTTCCCATTAAACTATGAGTTTCTAAAAGATAGTGTGTGTCTTTAGCATCATTCTATACCATGAGGTTTTTCTCATAGATTCCCTAAAATAATTTTTAAAAACTCACTATTTAAAAACATTCTCACAATTTATTTTAAAAATTTGACTCCTAAAAATTCTTATGAATTTAAGTAGTTGTAAAGGCTGTTATTTCAAGCATATTATGTATATTGCTATTTAGAATTATATTGGCTACATCATCATTTAAATATATTCACTTGCATCTAGGTGCCTCTGCAGTTTAATACCCACCGTCTTTCATCAAAAAGTTAATAAAAAGTTCTGCTTTAAAAATTATAAACTCAACCTGACCTTTGTCCCATTGGAACTGAAAATTTCAAGCCACTTTCCCCATATCATTTGATTACAATGTAATATATTTTTATACCTTTATGTCTTTTATTGACCTTGCTCATGAGATACACCTGTAACTTGAAATTTTAGAAAGCTTATTTCTTAATTACCATGAGTTTTTAAATGTTTAAGATTTATTCTGGGTTGAGTTATTCAAATAACAAAATGTGTTGTTAATTTTGTTAAACAAGTATAAGACATAAAAAAAAGTTTTCAAAAAGAAAGTTTTAAATTTTTATTTAAAAAATTTATTTTTATTTTTCTGTATTTTTATTGGTACATGATAATTATTATGATGGTGGGACTTGTTGTTACTTATTCATACATGCACACAATATATCATATGTGCACACAATATAATATAATTTGGCCAATATCATTCCCCAGTGGAAACAGATTTCTTAATGAGTTGAACAGGGCTGATTTTCTTTCATTGGCTTAGTTATCCATGGAGGATGTTTATTCTTGTTAGAATTATAGGATTCTAGTCTAATATTATCTTCATTCCTCTTCAAGTTCTGGAAAACTATTCATACAAATAGATTGTAAAGAGTTTTGTGAGAGTAGTGTTATTCAATTTTCTGGATGTGTTCCCAGTTTTTTTTTGTTGTTGTTGTTGTTTTGTTTTTTCTTTCTTCCATAGCACTTATCGTTTTCCAGTATTCTATATAATTTATTTATTTATTGTTTGTATTACTCTGCTTCTTAAAGGAAGGAGTTTGTTTTGCTCACTGATTCCCAACTTCCTGCAAAATACCCCACATTAAACATATAATTCTTAGGTGAATGATCACATGTTAAAACCACATTAATGACTCATCATTATAAATCATTTTAAATGATCCACAGCTGACAATGTAGGCTTTTCTTTTTTTTTTTTGTAGTCCTTCACAGTTATTTTGTTCTCTTTACATATCCATGACAATAGAGTGTATTTTGACATATCATACATACATGGAGTAGAACTTATTCTAATTATGAATGTGATTGTACATGATGTGGACATACACTAGTCATATATTCATATATGAACATAGAGAAGTTATGTCCAATTCATTCTACTGTCTTTCCTATTCTTCCTCCCTTCTCTCTTTTTTTTTTTAAAAAAAACTAAAAACCATCTGACTTGCAAAAAAGGATGTTCTTCATAGTTGGTAAAGTCACTTATCTTCCAAATTTCCAGAAAGCATTTCCTCCTTCTAGTCCCTGGCAACCATCATACTATTTCTCATCTCTATGATTTGTTACTTTAAGAACCTCATATAAATGGAATGATATATATTCACCTTTTGTGACTGCTTATTTCACTTAGCATAATGTCCTCAAAGTTCATTCATATCATATCATATTGCAGACTTTCTTTATAAGGCTGAATTCTTCCTTGTATGTATATCTGACATTCTATATTATCATTATTATTGTTAGTATTATTATTTTATTATTTTTACCAATGCTTAAGTTCTTGTTCTAACAAATGTCCTGTAATAAATTCTTTGATAATAGCAAGGGATGGAAGAGGTGGTCTGTTTAAATACAATGATCCATAATCTGCCCTCCTCAATTTGTAATATGTCTGTGTGAAGAACATCCCAGTCCCATTCAAACTGTTTCTAAGACCTCACTTCACCTGGAACAGAAAAAATGTTTAAAAACAGATACGACATACAGCATTTGTTCTGTGCCTGGGAGGCGTTGGCACCCTGGGCCATAGCAGCATATGAAGGTGTGTGCCTTTCTGCTGTGACACAGAAGTGGCCAGTTGTGAGAGGAAGGTGGGAAGGTAGATCTGAGGGACTGTCCACCACTGGTGCTTTCTCAGGTGAACCATTTTAGGGAAGACTGCCTAAGAGCTGAGGAGCTAGAAATGGACTTTGAGCCTGTCCTTGTCCCCATGCCCTTTGGGACTGTCACGTGTGCCAAAAGTTCCTGGTCCCCACCCCATTTGTGGCATAGAGGGGACCACTGACTGCTTGGGGAGGTTTTCACAGCTGCATTATCCCAACAGGTACGAGGTGGAGATTAACAGGCGAACTGCTGCCGAGAATGAGTTTGTGATGCTGAAGAAGGTGAGAGAGCCCAGGCACGGCTGGAAGATGCCTGAGGGGTCCTGACCGCCTGGCTCAGTGGTGTTTGCACGATGAGGAAAGGGACGCTCTGGGCCACTCAGTTCTTTGGACAGGGGTGACTGGTATTCTAACTCCAGCTCCTCGCACCAAGTCCCTTCCTGGGATGTGGCTGCTCCTAGCGTGTGCCAGCTTAAATCCAGGCATTCTGCTGTGCTTCTAGTGTGGCTATTGTACTGCACTTGAGTGGTTTTGCTTTCAGGAATTGGATCATTCCCAAAACATGAGGTCAGGGAGGTTGAGAGCACCAGGGAGCTGTGGCTTTTTGTGGCAGGGAGGGCAGGGCAGGGCAGGGCAGGGCAGGGCAGGCAGCTGCCCATCTAGGGCAGCCTGACTGTCTTATGTACCCCAGGATGTGGACGCTGCCTACATGAACAAGGTAGAGCTCCAGGCCAAGGTGGACTCCTTGACAGAGGAGATCAAATTCTTCAAGGATCTCTATGAAGGGGTAAGGACTTTGCTGTCCTCTGTGTTATGGGATGCTGCCCTTGACCAAGGATTGGTGGCCAAGGGGTGGGAGGAAGAAGTCTTTAACTTGGTGCAGCTGACATTTGCCAAGACCTCACTGGGTGCTCAGCAATGACCAAGGCTTTGAGGGAGAGGGAATGATCCCTGTCCCCCAGGAGTTCCTGGCCAGGCATGAAAACCAACATGCAGAGGAGCTTTGAGAGAGCAGAGGCAAGCAGGGAGAATCCCTCCTGGGCCATCCTAGAGCTTGGAGAAAGGAGGAAGAGTTCAGTGGGTGCTGGGAAGGGCCCGGTGTTCCTGCCTGAAGGTGCAGAAGAAGTGATGATCCAGAAGCCTGCTGTCAAAGCTCCAGGGGTGTGGGAGGAAACAGAAGCCTGGAGAGGGGAAAGGTGGCAATCATTCCCTTGAGGCCTGCAAGTGCCACATGAAGAGTGGCTTGATTCTATGGGGCAAGGGGGCCTTGCTAGATTTTGAGGAAGAGTGGAGAGGGGTGGGAGAGTCCTGAGGGCATGGTAGACAGCGGTCCCGTCACCTGGGTCTGAAGCTCAAGGACCCACTCTCATGCCAGACAACCGGTGACACTGAGGCAGAGCTCCACATTGAGGATAGCAAGCCATGTGCCCAGGGAGGGTCAGGAGAAGTGGTTCCCTCACAGGGACCCCCCTAACTGGCTCCCTTCCCCTCACTGTCCTCCAGGAGATTGCTCAGATGCAGTCCCATATCAGTGACACATCTGTTGTCCTGTCCATGGATAATAACCGGCAGTTGGATCTGGACAGCATCATTGATGAGGTCCGTGCCCAGTATGAGGAGACTACCCAGAAGAGCAAGGCTGAGGCCGAGGCCTTGTACCAGGGCAAGGTGAGCTGGGTGCCAGATGCGCCAAAGCCCAGTAACTACAGCTGGGACTGCATTTGCATGCTTATGTGCACACGTGGCATGTGTGTGTATGTGTGTGCTTGTGTGTGCATTTGATGTGTACGTGCATGTGTGTGGAAATGCTTCTCCATGGCCCAGGGAGATCACCCACAGTCTTGGCATGTGTTAGGAATGCACATGGGGCTTAGCCCTTCCCCTGCCCTGGCCCTGGACTGAACTTTGAGGCCATGACAGCCACAACCCTGATAGAACTTTGAGAGCGTGTCTATGAATAACCCACATATCTCAGGTTTTCTTCTTCTTTCCAACTTAGGCAAAAAGAGGACAGAAAATTCAAGCTCTGCCAAGGCTCTCATGTTTGAGAACCCAAGAATCCTATTGAATTAGGGTAGGGCCCTTCGTCTACAGGAGAAAAGCATTGTTTCCTGCCCCCTTATCTTCCAACTCCTTCCCTTGCGCTCATATTGCTTCAACAATGAGAATGCGTGGGGGCACCGTCCCTGTGCCGAGCACCCCTCAGCAGGTGACTTCTATCTGACCTGTGCTCCTTCTCTCTTGCCATCCAACCTCAGATCCAGGAACTGCAGGTTGCAGCAGGCCAGCATGGGGACGACCTCAAGCTCACCAAGACTGAGATCTTGGAGCTCAACCGGCTGGTTCAGAGGATCCACTCGGAAATAGGAAATGTGAAGAAGCAGGTGGGTTCTATGAAATGAGTCCGTGAATGGGGTTGATTGGGCACCCATCTGGACAAGGCAGAATATGAATAAAGTGTAAGACGTGGTCCCCTCCGGAGGTATTTACAACTCATAGGGAGGGGAGGATCAAGCGCGTGGGGACAATAGCGCCTTCTACACAGCGCAGCGTGCACTGTAGATGCCATGGGAATGCAGAGGGGCTGGAGATGAGTGAGGACGCAAGGGAAGCTGTCTGCAGGGGCTGGGATTGCACTGGGATGGGAGGCAAAGGGAAGACTGAGAGATGTGGCCCTGAGGGAGCCACAGATGGAGGCAGGCATGTGCATGGCGCATGTGCAGGGGGGAGGGCTGCTTCCCTGGGGCAGAAGGCGGGTAATGCAGCAAGGTGGCCTGGAGTAGAGGAGACCACGAGGTAGGGGTCGGCGGATTCTGGACACCTTCTAAGTCAGGCAGTGGGTTTAGGCCTGATGCCATAAGTACAAGGAAGCCTTTTAAGGTTTAACATGGTCATTTCTTGTTGGAGAAAGGAGAATCTGCAGTTGATTTTAGAACAAAATGGGGAAGAAATAGCCTCCCACCCTAGACTCAGCCTAGGCCCCTGGTGGGGGCCTTCCCCACAGTGGTTACATGTGGCAGCCACTGCACTGTTCCCTCTCTCTGGGACAGCATGATTGCAACCACACATGTGCCACCTCACCTGTGGTTCTGTGGAGACCAGTTGTCCCATTTCCTTGCCCTTCACTTCGTCCCTCACCCCTCATCCTGTGCCTGTGCACATGTATGTGCAAACGTGTGAACACACACACACACACACACACACACACCACACACATACACTACTACTCCTCTGTGTAGAAGGCTCATAACGCTGGGAAGAAGAAATAAGAACTTAGAATTAAGTAGGAACTTATTTAAGTTCTTTGTTTAATCAAGATATATGTAAATGCAAGAAAAAAATGTGACGTTGAAGCTCCCTTTGGCATTTGATGATGGTATCTAGCTGATAAAATGTTGTGTGCTCACAGTTGGGTGCACTTACTATCAGAAAGTGACTTTTTAAGATCAGAATGTCACTGAGTTCTGGGGCTCAGGGAAGATGTCTCTGTAGTAAACATGTGAGTATCCTTTGTGACACTTGGTCCTCATCAAGTCTCTCTTTGAGGGCCTTCAGTCAAGGTTCTTTCCTGCCCTGCTCAAAGAAGCTCAGAGTAACAAATGTAGCATTTGTATCAAAGAATGTCAAGATTTCACCACTCTGCATTCACAAGACCTAAGCTTTTGATGTGCCCTGGGTTCATTCTGGGGTTCTTGGTCAACATAAAAGAGCAGAGGACAGTTTGAATTCAAATGACAGAATTTATTACCATCCCCCAAATCACTAGACCTTCACAGTTCCAAGGATGAGACATGGTTTTCTGTGGTTAGGCACCTGGGTCCTGGGCGTCTCCTCAGGCTGTGAGTTATTCACCCAAAATGCCATGGAGGATGGCATTCTGGGGGCTGCCTAACAGAAGAAGGTGGCATTCTAGAAATCCATTTGTCCTCTGGTTCAGTTGCTGTTTTTCGGGACATGAAGTAAACTTGCCTCCACAGCAAGGGGACACTCCACAAAGAAGCCTGGTCCTTAGATCCCACCAAACATTAGCTGAGTGACCAGAACATGTCCATACTAAAAGACTCAAGAAGTCCCCGGAGGCTTTTACATGCATGCAAGTACACAGCCCCATCTGCAGGGTCCTCTGGCAGGTCACCTGATTTTACCTAACAGCAGGAGTTTGTCCCGTTAAAAACAGTACCTCCATCTTTAGATGCGGAGGCGTCAACTGGGGTGAGTCAGGGGAAGGATGGATTCACCTCTAGTGATCAACCTGGAGGATCTCAAAGCATTTGCTATCAGTCAGGGCCACAGGAGGGGGCGATGTCCAAGCAAGATGTCAGAACTGGGCTCTGACGTAAAGTGCTAAATCTGCTTGCCACCAGTGCTCCAGTCTGGAGACGGCCATCGCTGACGCGGAGCAGAGGGGTGACTGTGCCCTTAAGGATGCCCGGGCCAAGCTGGATGAGCTGGAGGGCGCCCTGCAGCAGGCCAAGGAGGAGCTAGCCCGGATGATGCGCGATCACCAGGAGCTCCTGAGCGTGAAGCTGGCCCTGGACGTGGAGATCGCCACCTACCGCAAGCTGCTGGAGGGCGAGGAGAGCAGGTGACCGGCAGCAGTGTTCTCTCTTCTTTAGTAGGCAGCCCAAAGGCAAAGGGGTTAGTTCTGTTAAGGTCCAACTGAATAAATCCTACAGCACATGGGCTTGTCACGTGGTAGAGAAGGCTAAAGTTAGACAGCAAGAAGGACTGAGTTGTAAAAGTCCCAAAGAGGTCATGGGACAGGGAGTATCAATGTCAGCAGTGTTTGAGAAACAGAACATCCTCTGGCCCTTCACCTGGCTTGGAGAGGAGGGACAAGAATGTCTTCAAGGGTCATTCAAGTTCAAGGTCACTTTGGAGAAGCCTGGGGCTCAGTAAGGATGTGGGCTCCTTCCTAATTGTCTAAGTCTAATGGCATAACTATAGACGACTGGAGACAAAGCTGTCTCACACAAGAGAGAATTCTGATGCGTTCACTTTAGTCCTCTGTTTCTTGAGAGGTTCCCCTGGGATATGGGAAGAGGATGGGATGGGCTTGGAGAGCACGTTCTGAGAGGAGAGGTTAATTCACAAGTGGGGCAATTGTTTAAGAAAGATTTACCTGTTTTCTTCTCCCTTTGCAGGATGTCTGGTGAATTCCCAAATTCCGTGAGCATCTGTAAGTACCTTACATCTCAGTACTACCCTTCATCACCTTACCAGAAGTCTGGCCTTTTAATCCCATGATATAAAACAGAAATCAGGGAACTGGCTTTAGTAACCAAAGGGAAATGATGGATGGAGAATAACAATATTATGAAATACAGAGAGTGCAGTCTACCGAAAAATCCAGTGATACCCCACAGTGACTAATCCAACTGTTGGCCATAAGAACAATGCTTAATGACGACCTTCTTTTCCTGTTGAGGCCAGGCCAATGTAGAAGTCCCAGATTTCAGGAAAAGGAGTTAAGGGGGATCTGAAAGCTGAATAATGAAAAAGAGCAGCTGAAACGACCCACTCCATGCTTAAACCCTGGGGAGAGGTGGGTAGGTGCTGCCTTCGGAGATGCAGGGATACTGCCAGCAGCCCGTTTCGGCATCAGCAATGATCAGAAGGCCTCCCTCGGTGAAGGGCCTGTCATCATTTGGTCCTGTCTGTGGGGGAAGTTCCTGAGAAGAGTCCTGGCTGCTAAGAGCTGAAATTCTGATATTGATAAATTTTCACAGGCCACTAGAAAAAGCTTGATTATATGGGGCTGAGTACATGAAAAATGAAGCCACACATCAGAGCTCATGAAAATCTCTTAGTAAACTAAAGAGAGTGAAAAAGAGAGAGAGCATGCTGAAGGAGTAGTCCAGGGCACAGGGCTGACTGGGCTGGGGTCTTCTCTCTGCCCTTACAGCTGTCATCAGCAGCACCAATGCAGGCGCAGGAGGGGCTGGCTTCAATGTGGGCTTTGGCACCTCGAGCAGTTACAGCTACAAACCTGTGGCTATGGAGGTCAAGACCAAAGGCAGCTGTGGCGGCGAGCTCAAGGATCCCCTTGCCAAAACTTCGAGCAGTAGCTGTGCAACCAAAAAGGCTTCCAGATGATGGGCAGGTGGTGGCTCTGTGCGGAAGGCTGCAGAAGCCATTCACCTCCTCCCCCTCCATCCCAGAGTCCCCTTTCCAACTCAGGAAATGCTTCGCCTGTCACCATAATCCCAGTCCTATCTTCTCCCCTGTTGTCCTCAGTGGGGCCATACTCTGATGTGGGGAGACTAGTTCCCTCTGTCCTGGTCGCTTTTCATTGCTTAACTGCAGAGATAGTGCACACACCCAGGAGGCTGGTCTGCAGCCAGCCTCTTTCAAGTGCAAACCCTTTTCAAGTGGCTTGTCTTGGGCTGTCACTGCCAAGAAGCTCTCTTTGTCCCCTGACTGGGATTGTGTCTGTTCTATGCTTCTCCTGCAATAAAGTCTGTTTTCTATTGCTATCACAGAATGCCTGAGTCTGGGTAATTTATAAAAAAAAAAAAACACAGAGATTTGTTTTGACTTATAGTTCCGGAGGGCCAAGAGAATGGTCTCAACATCTGTTTGGCTTCTGGTGAGGGCCTCACGCTGCGTCCCTATGGCAGCCAAGTGGAAAGGGGAAGTGATATGTGTAGATGGAGCACTTGGGTGAGAGAGTCTGAGGGGAGATGCCAGGCTTGCTTCACAACAGCCTGCTCTAGAGAGAACTGATCCATTCATGAGGGTGGTGCTCTCTTGATCTAGTCACATTCCAAAGACCCCACCTCCCAAAGCTGCTACCATATTGGGCATCAAATTTCAACATGGGTGCTGGTGGGGACACACCCTACCCAAGCCCTGGTGCCAGCTGGTTTTCCAAGTGGACTCTGTAACCTGGGATGTTGGCCTCTGCATTGCCCTAGTTTTTCTTGGTCTGATTCTTGTTTCCCTCTGAGTCCCTGTCCTCCTGTGGATCTTTGCTCTCTGGTTTTAGCCAGGTAGGTATTGGGCGATACCTGATCCTGTATATGGTTGAAATACACTGGGTAGGTTCAGTGGTCCCTAGGCACTGTGTCACTTAGTCTACATAATGGCCCTGTGAGACAGGTGATGGCACCTGCCTCAGAAAGACATGTTGAGACTGTGTCAGAAGTTGGAACTTTTCTAAAAAAAATTCATTTATGTTATTCTTCTTAAAATTTGTTCTTTTTTAGTTATACATGGCACTCGGATGTTTTGACATATTATACAGACATGGAGTACAACTTCCCATTCTTCTGGTTGTGAATGATGCAGAGTTCCACTGCTCATGTATCATACATGAACATAGAAAGGTTATATCTGCTTCATTATACTGTCCTTCCTATTGCCAGCCCCCTCCCTTCCCTTCATTCCCCTTTGTCTAATCCAAAGAAAGAAGTTGAAACTTCAATGTGGCTTATCACTCGGGTTTGAAGGCCCCACAGTCTCCACACTCGCTGCCAGGAGTCGCCAGAGTAGTCTTCATTCTTTTTCCTTCCTCTCCCCCACCCACTCCCAGTCCTGTTCCCCCACAGGGGCCCTGCTTTCCTTTTCCCTAGGCAAGTTCTTTTTCACCCTCAAGTGTGAGGCCTGTGTGTCTAGACGCTACGGATGCATCTGCATCTACTGTAGATATCCGACAGTGGCTCGTTTAACAACTACTTGGTGATGCAGGCATGGTTCAGGCACTCGGGACATTAGAATCAACCAAATTGGCATAGAAGTCACAGTCTAGTGGGGATTGGAAAAAGATACAACTAACCAAGGGACATGTGATAGGATGTCAAGTGTGTGAACTGCTATGAAGAAAAGTTAAGCAGAGTAAGAAGCAGAGAGACTCAAGGGTGTCTTTTTCGAAATGTGTGTTTCCGTGAGATCATTTGTCTTCCAGCCAGTTGGCCCTGTTGACTTGAAGAAAGTTCTTAAGGGACAGCTCATCTTTCAAGGAGGAGCCTCACTGGAGGGTTGTATTTGGGGTACCCACGATGCCTTCTCTTTCCCTATCTTAACATTCTAGCCTTTCCTTAAAAAGCCATGCATTCCTCACCTGTGGGCCTCTGCAAATAATGATTTCTCCATGATGGGTGTCCACTTATCAGAAGGCTGCTTATCCTTTGTGAACAGGTGAAATGTCACCTCCCGTGTTCACGTGATGCCTGGTTCTTCTAGGTGAAATCCATCAAGCCATTTAGCATGAAATGAGGAGCAACATTCAAGTTTCTGGTCCAACAGTTCCCTCTATCCTCCAATTCTCTAGGTGAGAAAACTGAGACCCCAAGGGCTGAATGATGTGTTCACAGCCCCGGGTGCACCAGGGTCTGGACTGATAGCTGCACATGGCAGCACTGTCCCTAGCCTGTGTTACATTTGGTGCTTGTTTACCTGGGATCATGGCAGCAACCCTATTTCTGTCTCCTCATCCATCTCCTCATGTCCCCTAGTTCCAGGATCCTCTGATTGGCTCACAGTTAGTAGCAGTCAATGTCCATTTGCTGCAGGAATGCGTGGCTGGGTGTAGCCCACCATGTTTTAGTCAGCTTCTTCACTGCTGTGACTAAAAACAGCTAAGGACAATGTTATAGGAGGAAGAGTTTATTTAGGGGCTCACAGTTTCGGGTCTCAGTCCATAGAGAGCTGGCTCTATTCCTCAGGACTCAAGGTGAGGCAGAAGAATATCATGGTGGTAGAGTGTGGTGGAGGGAAGCAGTTCACATGATGATCAGGAATCAGAGAGAGACTCCTCTCACAAAATATATACTTAAGACTCTCATAACCCACTCATTTCTCCTCTAAACCTTCTTGCATGGTCTCACACATGAGCTTTTGGGGGACACCTCACATCCAAACCATAACATCACCTTTACTGGGAAGTAAGAGATCAGTGTGTGCCTGGTGTCTTGATGTCTTGGCATGCAAATGATGAGACACACACCTATGTTCATAAATTGCTGTTTTATATCCATTTGTGTGTCTGCAGTATGTATAATTTATCACCCAAACTGGGGCCCTTTTGTCCTGGACAGATGCTAAGCTGGATTCTTGGACAACAGACAAAGTCAGTCTGTCAGACAACAAGACTCCTGGGTCTGGCATTTTGCCTGAAGAGTTGTACATATGACTTCAAAGTTTGATTCTTCTACTAGCTGGTACAAGATGGTGGCCTTGTAAAGCAGGATCCCGCTGGCCTTTGTTGAGTGCTTTCTATATGCCAGGATCTCCCCTCATATCACCTAAGTACTTTTTTGGCAGCTCAGCTAATTCTCAGAGGGTTAGCCATAGTTCTCTGGGATCAGGCTGTGAGGAAATGGCAGAGGAGGAAGGTGAAGCCCAGCCCGATCCTGGAGTCTGGTCTCCCTGCTTGGACACTTATTTACTGTCAAAGAACTCACCAGAGAGGACATCTGTGAACTTGAAAATTAGTACCAGGAATACAATATGCATATGTCCACTGCTATTTTGGTTACAGTTGTGCCTTACACAACGATGGGGACACTTCCGGAGAAGAGTGTCATTAGCTGATTTTGTAGTCATGCAAAATCAGAGTGCACCCACCACCTGCTTCTAGATGGCCTAGGTCTGTCACTCAGTGTGGCACAATAAGAGGTGCAGCAAGCATGAGCTGAACAAGGAGGCTGCCAGGGGACTGTGGCATGCTGTTCCAGTGTTTTTTAATAAGTGCAAGTGGCACATTCTAAAAAAATGGTGGAAGGCATAGTATAGAAGATAGAGAATCTAGTAACATAGTGTTTATGACCATCATCAAGCACTCTGCACTGGACACCATCATATGTATGCAATATGTGTGTTCTGCAATCGTGCATTGCAGTAGGTTCTTTACACCAGCATCACCATAAACACCTGAGCAATACCTTATGCTGTGACCACTATCAGTTACAAGGAGGTAGGAAATTTTTAGCTCCATTGGAATCTTTTGGTTCCACTGCAGTATATATTACCTGCTGTTCACCAAAAATGATACATAGTACATGGCTATATTTGTTGTTGTTATTATTATTACTTATTTTTGTTACTGGGAATTGAACCCAGGGCCCTGAAAATGCTAGGCAAGCTCTTCACCACTGAACCACATCCCCAGCCCCAGTTATTAATGTGTATTAGCAGGGCTTTCTCTTTGTGTTTGGCTGGCTAAGTACTGGCTCATGCCTGAGATTAGCAGCAGGACTTGCCCAGAGGCCCAGTGAAGCTGTGCTAAGTGGGGGCCAGGGTCACTGAAGCACATTTCCATCTAGCCACCAGCTGCTGTTCATCGCAGCAAGGACAAATCCTGAGGGATGCCTCTATCTTATGTACATCCTGCCCTCTGCTGGAAGCTCCAGGTACTGCACCTTCCATCTTTGTGGGGGGATGGGGGGAAGGTATCCTGGGCAGGTTCCTTCTCATGCAGAGTGCAGAGCAGCCAGCTGAAAGAGATGCTGTTTGGCTCCCCAGCCTGCCCAGGCTGGCCCTGGCCTCCCTGTTGCCCGGGGCCCTGGCTCTTGTTTCCCTCTTCTCCTTCCACAGGTGGGAGGTGGGCAGGGGCTGCTGGGGCTGCTGCCCCCTGAACCTTCTCACCTTTAGTTAGAGAGCTCAGGGTCTTCAGGTAGCACTTCCTCAATGGCTGCCTGAGAATCTTGGTGCTGCTCTAGAGGTCCCAGGAGTGAGAGCCCTGTCACTCAGCAACACATGTCTCCCAAGGCCACGGACACTGGCTGCATGGGGAGCCCTCAAAGAACTCTTCCTGTCTCATGTGGTAGATAAGCTAGATACGGAGGCATTGGAAAGGCACAACCAAGGAGCTATAGAGGAGGGAGGCATTAGAACTGAACACAATCTAGGAAGACTTCCTAGAGGAGGAGGTAAAAGGCACATGACTTACAGGGAACTTCCTAAAATTTTGTAGGTCTCACTGGGCAGCTGTTTTGAGGCTTGAAGTGCCCTTTCCCAGCTGTCTGTACTTTTCCTTCCAGAGTTCCATCACTTCAGCCACCTGCAGGGTGACCGTTGTATAAAGGACAATCATTTTGCAAACCCCAAGTCCTTAGCATTCACATTTGGCAAGTGTTCCAGAGGGCCGAGGGTCTCATTTCTACAAATCACCTTCACT